GGAACATACTGCAACTTCTCTTGCCTTTTGAATTACGCTTTGTTATTTTCTATACATCTGGAGGTATTAGAATATTTCAAGTTTGTATAACTGGAAAATATTTTACTTTTAGTTTTCAAAGGTATGTTTGCTAAGTATAAAATTCAGAGAGGACAGATTTCTTTTTTCTTTCAGTCCTTTAGTCTAGTTTCTTAAACACTTGGTCTTTTTTTTCCCCTTCTAATGTAGAATAAGATGCTATTTAATTTTGTTCTTCCATAGCTAATATTTTTTATGTATATGCTGCAATGATTTTTTTCTTTTGGACAGTTTCATTTTTGTGTATCTTGGTATGATTTTATTCAGATTTCGTCTGCAAACGGTTCATTTTTCTTGGAAATGTGTTATAAGTTCAACTGAATTCAGAAAGTTTAAATCTTCAAATTTTTATTGCCTACTCCTTTGTACTTTGATAATTCTAATTATATGAGTATTTTTTTTTTTTATTTTTGACACGGTGAACTATTATATGACTGATCTGTGATTTATTTTTACTTTTCAGTTTTTATTGTTTTATTCATTTAAGTTTGTAAATAATTTTACAGTGTGCAATCTATTAATCTCATGCAATGTATTCATTTCAGAAATATTTCTCTAAAAATTTTTGCATCTTTTGCATCTTATATCTTTCACATTTCAATATTTGTCTACAGTTTTTAATATGATATGTAATTATTAATTTTCAATAAAGTTAATGAAAAATAAAACAGTGTTATCTTGATTATTGAAAAAAAAAAGAAATGACCAACAAAATGAAAAGACAGCTCACATATTTGAAAAAAATCATAACAAGCATTCGGACAAAGGTCATTCATCTAGATTTTATAAAGAACTAAAAACATAGGGCCCCAAAATTTAAAGACCCAATCCAAGAATGGGCATCAGAGATGAGCACACAACTTCTTAGAGAAATATAAGAAGCAAATAAATATATGAAAAAATGCTCCACATCAGTAGCCATTCGTGAAATGCAAATTAAAACAACACTGAGATACGGTCTCACTGCACAAAAAAGAACTATCATAAAGAAATCAACCAACAACAAATGTTGGAGAGGCTGTGGGGAAAAAGGAACCTTTCTCCACTGCTGGTGGGAATGTAGACTGGTGCACCCATTATGGAAATCAGTGTGGAGACTTCTCAAAAAACTAGGACTGGAAATCCCATTCAATCCAGCTTTCCCCTTCTGGGAATTTTCCCAAAAGAACTGAAAATGTATCTTAGTGATAGATGTACGCTTGTGTTTATAGCAGCACAATTTGTGATAGCCAAATCTTGGAAACAACCAAAATGCTCATCTCCTGAGGAATGGATGAAAAAGATGTGCTTTTATACAATGGGGTATTACTCAGCTATAAAGAACAATAAACTTGAAGCCTTCATATATAAGTGGATGCAACTGAAAGATATAAGTGAAATAAACGAGACCCACATGTGTAAATACCATATTTCTCCCTACTGTAAAGAACTCAAAAGAAATAAAAATTGAAAGGTATAACACCGTTAAATGGAAAGCGAGAACTTAAGGATTAAAGAACAAAGAGAGCAAAAGTAGAAAAGTTAGGAAATATGGCAGGGGCAAAACCAAACATTTATATAAATAAGATGGTTAAGGCAGTGGTTCTAAGAATCTCCTTCAGGTTTTTGAAACCAGCAGTTAATGGTTAGTATTCTTACCCTGACCAACTCTATATGCTGATATCTGTGAACTAAGCAGCTACACTGAGGATAGCAATGTGTAATACTAAAACTATGCTTGAAATATGTGTCATTTTGTTCTTCTAAATGTGTACCGCTAATGTCTTATAAAGAAAGTTATTGCTATATTTTCTTTAAAGTAAATGTTTTGAGACTGGACGTGGTGATTCGTGCCTGTACTCTCAGCACTTGGGAGGCTGTAAACAGGAGGGTGACTGTAAGTGATCCTGTAGAACCTGTCCTAAAATACAAAATAAATAAATAAAGTAAATGTAAATGTAGAAAAAAAGTAATAAAAGAAAACAAATGAGGGGCTGGTGAGATGGCTCAGTAGACTAAGCACTTCCCTGGCAAGCAAAAGGGTCTGAGTTCAATCCCTGGTTCCGCAAAAAAAGAAAAAAAGTCGTAAGATTGTTCTGCTACAGTGTTGTATATGGTTTGATTTCTAAATTTCTGTGTAAAATGTGTAATTGTTTTTTTTTTCACATTCTATAGGGATTTAAATTTTAGACTATCTGTGATTATTGGAAAATAGCAGTTCCATGCTATGTCTAAGGCATTTGACATTCAGAGAGATAGTGATGTTAAGTACAACTGCCTCTGTTTTAGGGTTATAGTATCATTAAACTTCTCTTCTGGATGTTTAACAACTAAAGTTAGCAGATCAAAAATTAGAGAAATAGAGAGGCTACAAGGATAGCCAATATTTTGGCTCTAGCACTTCAAGGTCAGTGAGGACTCAGGACGTAAGAGAACCTGTATTGTGACATTCTGTAACTCAGCGAGGTCTCAGATTTTCTGATCAAGGAGATTATGGGGCCACAGAAGAAAGTGATTGACTATGTAGAATGTGCCTAAGGAGAGTCACCTAGAGAGAACAAATTTTCTCAGGCTTTCACAGACATCAAGTTGATCAAGCGATAGCCATGACTCATTCAGATGGCTGACACTGACAAAAGATCTACAAGATGTTGTACATGGTTTCCCCATAAATCCTAAGGAGATTTGAGTGACCTCATCAGATACAAAAGTTGCATTTTTAGTTATATAGGTCTTGCTTTAATTTGGTCTTAATCATCCAGCAGAAAAGTATATCCAGGGGGCCGGGGAGATGGCTCAGTGGAATAAGTGCTTTCCTGGCAAGCCCAAGGGCCTGAGTTCAATCCCCATTTCCGAAAAAAAAAAAAAAGTATATCCACAAGGTATAAAAAGCAATGCCATTATTAATATGCTGAGCTGTAAAAGGCTCAAGCCAACAACTTCTGACAATTGCCAGTTCTGCTGAAAGCCCACTACTATTATGGAGTATTAGAGTATATTGGGTTATTTTGCTAAATTCAAGTACCTACAATTTTTAGACAGGCTTCAAGTATGAAAAGGTCCTCTAAAGACTTCTCCAAATGCAGCTTATCTAACTGCAGTGGAACACCCATCTCTGACAAAAAAAATGAAAAGGGGGGTATAAGTTGGGAGCCAGCAAGCTAGAAAATCGAACAAATATGTGTAAGTGGCACTTGGCCCAGTGCCTAAAGCTAACAAGCTACCTCACTCCTGAGATGAACATCCTGTCTGGTTAAGGTTAGCTATCAGTTGCTAGGCAACCTAGTGTCATGCGTTACTAACTTCATAAAAGTGTGAATGAAGGACTTTTGTTGTGGGAAAAAGAGAGAAAAAAGTATATATTTATACACAAGAGAGTTAGGAGAGATATACAGCTACTTTCTGTTAGTTCATTGAGAATAAAAGTCTATACTAATATTGTTTAGAGAAATTATGCTTGCATCTTGTCCTTCGAATAACTAGTACGAAGACAGTAATATGTAATGTATTAATTATTGTAACCATCTTACTAACCTGTTTTGAAACTGTATCATTGCTATTTTTTTCTCATTAAAATGAATACAAAAATTTAACAAGTTATTATCTTTTTGGAACTAAAATAAGGTTTTTTTTTTTTCCCAGTCTTTTGTGTTCTTTCATTTTGGTACATAGGATTGAATCCAGGGCACATGATCACTGAACTGTACTCCAGCCCTAATTCTCTGACGTTTTGAGCATTGCATCTAGATCACTTCTTTAGAGTTTTAATTTTTTCCTTTCTGAGTTAAGTAAAAGCATCTTATAGGTACAGTTCTTTTCTTTCTTTCTTTTTTTTTTGTATTTAGTACGAAGTCTGCAGGGCCTCACTGCACAGATCGAACTTGCAGTGATCCTTCTGTTTTCAGCCTCTAAAATGCTGGGATATTTTAAAGTTTCATTTTTCATGAGGCTTAAGTGGTGGTTTTGGTTTTAGTCTTAATCATTGAAGTCTTCTATGAAGAAATGGGTATTGGATTATTTTTCAGTGTAGTTTGTGTTATGTTCCAGACCTTAGAGCCAAACAGTACTGTTTGGTTCTAGGATCTTTGTGGGCCAGTATATTGCCAGTTATCTTAACAATCTTATCCAGTTTTTTTGATGATATTTATCAGTTTTGGTAGTCAGCATTCTGTGGTTTTAGTTAGTTGTGTCATTTCCTCCTTTTTTCCTCTTTTTTTAAATGTATTTGGTACAAGGTCTCACTATAGAGCTTGGACTGGTAGTGATCTTTCTTTCAGCCTCCCTTGCACAGGGATTACAGGCGTGTGCCACTACACCCTTTCTCTCCTCATTCTTTAATGGGAGCATTATTTCCTCTTCTGGGGAAAAAAAACTGAGAAAACTAAGGTGTTACTTGAAAGAAAACTGCCATTATTATTCTTTTCACATCGTCTTGGCCTTACCTGTTTTATTTTTATAATGTTAATCTGAAAATTGTCCTTAAGTTAGTATGTATACAAATGTGATCTTTTTAGATATTTCTTGCCTGATTTGAAATTTGTTTTCAAATTTTGTTTCAATTGGTTTTTATGTTTTTGGTAGCATAGCACTGTATCCTATAATCTGGGCTTGGAGTCCTACAGTGATTTATGATATCTTATACTGGAGTGTTATTGATGGGTGTGATTCTATGGATTTTTCAAAGGTGGTTAAAAGTCCTCCATTACTTTGAGATTCTCATTGGAACTCTAAAGGAATTGCTGATTTAACATATCATTTGAATATCAGCAGGCTGCTTTCTGTTTTAGATTGATACTTTTTAAGCTTCTGTATTTACATTTGCTATTTTTTTCTTTCCTATACAATTCCGATAAAAGATTTAAATGTCTTTTGATTTCAAAATGGATCTGAATTATATTGAATGAGCTAATTTTTTTTTAGTGTACTGTGTTTTCTGTTTTCAGGTTCAGTTCTGGATATTATTAAGTACATTGTGGCAAAGGGAGAACACAAAAGTGGAGTTCTAGATGAACCTACCATTGCTACGATACTGCGAGAAGTGTTAGAAGGACTGGAATACCTGCATAAAAATGGGCAGATCCATAGGTAGGTGAAATAGATCAGTCTTCAAGTTTTGATGAGCATGGCAGTAGTTGTGCTGTATCATATTGAAGCCACAGAATTCACTATAATCTCATGAGTGTTAACATTGCTTTGTATCACTACTTTCAGTACATTGTACAATTAATTTCTTACCATGAAACAATCACTTTGATAAAAGATAATGAAATTTTTTTATGTGCTTGAGAAATACGTAAGAAAAAAAATATATATGTTTATTGTTTTTCTTAGTTTGCTTTATAAGTAAGTCTTAGAGTATCTTTATATTTCTCCAAATTACTGAATAATCTTCATAAAACACCACTTTCTCTGTTGGGTGGGGGTGTGGGATACACAGTTTGTGTTACCTTTTGTTATTTGATGGAGGGCCAGGAGATACTGAGTCCAGGTTGCCCTCCTAAGTGAAAGGCTGTGAGGTGTATCTGGCATAGATGGTCTGGGCCTACCTGCTTCGTTTGGTTTGTGGGGCAAGTGATGAAATTTCCCAGTCTAGTTTTCTGTGGCAACTCTGGTTCTGGCATGGTCAGCCCCTAGTCATTACAAGTGTGAGGTCCATGATGGGCCTCCTTTTAGGACTCTGCTACTAGCTCTGTATTATTCCTTTTTACCACAGAAAGCAAACCTGGGGCCTTTTGACCTCTGTTTGTTGATAGTTCTAGTCTGTAAAGCATTTTTTAAAAGACTCAAGAAACTTATATATTGCTTTTGCAAGTTCTGGAGTATCTCTGCCGTATCCAGTTCTTTTGTGATTGCTGAAGTACTTTTGGAAATTTTAGTTATATGTAAAGGAAATGAGCAGGGAAAAGTAAACCTTTGCCATTTTGTTTATGACTGGAACTAATTCCTGTAGCTCATTCCTGAAATCATGAGATAGAGCCACAATTTTCTTTAATTTCTAAGTGTAATATGATAGGTTGTTGTGTGCTATGTCGGACCACTTTGAGTATCTTATGTATTCAGCACTATAGTGAACATTTTTCTTTGTGGATTTTTATTGTAAGAATATTTATTCTGAAAACCTATCTTTCTCTAAGAAGACAAAAGGGAAAACCTTTTATCTTAAGTGATTACCAAGTTGTTTTGCAGAAATGTATAGGTTTATGTCAGTGTGTAGTGGTAGATTCATTGTACTCTTGCTAGCTTTGCTTATTAAAATTTTCAGTTCGCTTATTAAAATTTTTGGTTTGCTAATTTTAAAAATAAATTTTGATATATTAGATTATTCGATTAAACATTGATTTATATGGAAATTATGTTTCCTTTTATGAAATACTTGCTTATGACTAGTTATTTTTCTGTTGGGATTTCACTGCTTCTCTTGTTATCCTGTGCTATTTATGTAATTAAAAATGACCTTTTCTCAGTGTTTTTTATACTTCTTGGATCTTAGGTAACTAATAGAGCAAAGGAACAAACTAGAATCAGGTTGCTAGAATGTGAGTAAAAGCTGAAAAACAAAATAGGGCTGGTGCAAAATCAACATAGATTGGTGGATCAGAGATGTGCTTACATGCACACGTCAAAGAATACGCATAGCAGAGTTGTTGGATAGTCACCTAGAAAGATAGTTTATGGTTAGAGAGTGGGATTTTTGAATTAGTGAACTTGTATTTGAATCAGTTGAGGTGACAAGATAAAAAGCTGAAGAAGTAGATAATCATGGCTTTACTTCTTATACTTCGTTTGTATACTTTTCTGCTGGGTGGTTAAGACCAAGATAAAGCAAGACCTATGCAACAAGAGTTGTAGCTTTTCGATCTGATAAGGTCAATCAAAAAAGCCATGGTGTTATGTTGAGCTGTAGGGGACTCAGGTCAACAATTTCTGACACTGCCAGTCAAGTGGAAGACCCAATACTATTATGCACTACTGGACTCTTTTAGGATATTATACTGAGTTAACACCTATAATATTCATTTTTTAAAAAAATATTTATTTATTCTCATTAATCTGCAAGTCAGTAGGTGTTTCTTTACAGTTATCTTTAGCAGAATTCATACAAAACAGTAATTAACAATGATCTTCCTTTTTTTTTAACTCAAGGAAACACCTTCAAAAATACATTTTGTAAAATGTTATAGTTTGTGTCTAGTTGTTCCCCCAAAGCCTCATGTAGTTATGGGGTAGTTCCTAGAATTTGTGATTGATTATTGTGGGTGTGGATGCTGCAACTGCTGTGGGACAGACAATTTGCATTACAGTGTAAAGCTGGGAGAGAGGATAACTGGCTGCCTGAGTTGCTGCCACTCCCTTTTGCTCTCTGCTCTTTGCTGGCACCATAAAAGGTTGCTCTCTACCTTGTGCCATTCTGTCTTGGAACCAGCTGAGTATAAGCTAAATAAACCTTTCCTTCCTTCATTGTGTCAGATACTTGTCTCAACAACAAAAGAAGAGTAAAGCCTTTTGGTACAAGGGCTCAAACTCAGGACCTTATGCTTATTAGGTAGTCATTTATGCCTCTGAGCTATCTCCCTAGCCCCTACATACTGATTTAGTAACAGGATCTATTGGCATAAACCTATTTTTTCATGTAATGTAAACTGCAATAATATAAATAAAAGTACTTTAACAAAAAATAAATTCAAGAATATTTTAAATTTTATTTAAAATGACTTTTTAAATGCTACTGATTTCCTGATTAATATTAAATTATCTTGAATTCAGGTCTCAGAATAAGAGATTGAAAATAGTTATAAAGAAAGTTCTCCATTTTATTCCATTTTTAAAACAGTTAAGCTCCTTTGGGAAAATTGTTTTAATCTTTTATTTTATTTTATTTTATTTTATTTATTTGTGTGTGTGTGGCCAGCTCAGCCCACCAGGGGGCGGGGCTGGCTGGCATGTGGTGCTGGGGGATTGAACTGCGGTCCCTGTGCTTTGCTAAGCTTGTTCTAAGTAGGTGCATTAGACCATTGAGCCATCTCACCAGCCCCTGTTTTAATCTTTTTATCAGAGGTTTCTGTTGGTTCTTTTGTTGGTAGTACACTTCTTCTGTACCCCTACAGTCTACTTTACCTTCATTTTTGTCATTGGATTCTTTAGTTTGTTGTTGTTGTCATCAGTCTCCTTTAAAAAATTACTTTTGTTAATATTTTTGGTGGTGGTACTGGGAATTGAACCCCTTGCCTTTATACTAAGCTACATTCTCAGCCCTCTGTTTTATTTTTCACTGGGGATATTAGTCTTGAGAAATTGCCCAAAATTTAACTTGCTGTCATCCTCTTGCCTCAACCTCTGAAAATGCTGGGATGTTTTTGTTTAAATTCTTTTCACTTTAAAATCGTGTTTCTTGGGGTTACTCTATTTTACTAGTCAGCCAATGGATGGGTGGAGGTTGTACTCTGACATCAAGAACATTTATGAGGTTCACATAAATGTATGTATTTATGTGAGGGTATTCTGCGGTGCTTAAGACTCTAGAGTCTAGATTTCTTAAAATGAGATAAACTTTTGTCTTTTGGGACCTCATTTTCTTTGTATTTTGCTCATTTTTTGTTGATTCCAAAAATATCAAGCAAGATTGAATATATGTGAGCCTTTTGCCAGAAAGAAAAATATAATTCCAGAATGTTATTATAAAAGTTTTTACCTCACTTCTATTTAAAAACAAAGTAAAAGCATCAAATTATAAAAGTACAACTTATTTTGCAACTGACAAGTCAGTGTTTTGGAATATTTTGGATACCCTTGTTCTAGTACTGGCTTGAGAGTATATAGACAAAGAGGCACCTACTTAACGCATTCAGGGGGCAGATCAGCTACTGCCCCTCAACCCTTGACCCTAAATTTCAAGCTGCCTCCTTCAGTTGAGGCCTGACTGCCCTCTTTTTTAAAAAAATAATTAATTAATTAATTTGGTTCAGGGTCTTGCTACGCAGGTCAGGCTCAGTAGTAATTCTACTGTTTCAGCCTCCCCAGAGCTAGGATTACAGGTGTGCGCCATCATGCCCAGTTTGGGTGGCTGGCTTAGTGCAGGGCTGGCATATCATGCGGTACTGGGGATCGAATTTGGGTCCTTGCACTTGCCAGGCAGGTGCTTAGATAACTGAGCTATCTCCCTGGCCTTTAGTTTCTTCATAGAGGACCCTCACTGAGATCTAGAATTTTGTCTCTGTAAACAGATCATGTTTCAAAGGAACAGGCCCACCCTGGTAAAACAGGTTGCGGCGACAAAGTTGAAAATAAGATAGGACTGCAAGTGTTGGATTCCAGTATTACATAGGCTTAGACCATATCAGGCAAGCCCAGTTAGATACAAAGAGGCCATAACCTCAGGGTCCTTCAGTTGTCGGGGCAGACTAGGTAGAAAGCCAGCTAAACACCCCAGCGTGAGTCAACCAGAGATTTCTGAGAAGGCTGGCAGGCCACCCTTGGATGGATCTTGGTCTTTTTACATGGAACCACTCTTGCTGAAGGAGCTTGACTTCTTCAGGTTGCTGGCTAGGTCCTGGAGTATCAGTTTGTTAGCCAGGACACTCAGGACCACTAGTGATGGCCATCTGCACTGGTACTGGGTGTGAGGCTCCCAGTCCCACTACTGATTCTGTATGGCTTCCTATTCCTTGTACCTTACAGGCCACGGTTCCTAAGTAGGCAGCATAGCACTTAAGAGGAGCCAGGCCAGGTACTGGTATACCTGGGGGGGTGGGTATTCAAGCACACCACAGTGCACCAGTGTAGCCACTGTATGAGTGCATTTGTGAAGCCAGACACAGAGTTGTGCATGACTGCTAGGTGGTAGTCTCACAGCAGCAGTCACTTGTACATGGTGGGTTCCAGGGTTGTGGCAGACAGCAGACATTGTAGTGGGCACCTCCTTGGGGTCAGGCTCAGCCCAGGCCCAGGCTGGACTCATCCTCTGGTTATCAAGGAGTTACATGTCACACAGGCTTGATTCCTCTGACAGCTGCTGGTGCAGGCCTTGTGTCTCTGCTTGTTCCTTGGATAGGATGATGAGCATTGTTCTTTTGAACACTTGGGATCTG